TGTAGGTATCTGTTGACTTAGTTCATCCAGAATTGATAAAGTTTTCCTCTTTTGAAACTGCTGCAAGTTTTACCACAGGTACTCCATAAGTAGGGACCTACTGAAATGGAGGAGGCAGGCAGCCAATTTTCACAGGCTGATCACAGGGTTGGCCACCATTCTCATAGGCTTATCACAGTAGGGCCCCCCATGCCTCTGGCCAAGGGACCCTAGTAGCCCTGCCTCTTGCCACTGATTGGCCAAAAGGATTGTCCATCGTGTGGCCCTGCCCCTTGCCACTGACAGGCAGCCCTCTCAGCCAATCATTGGGGGTGACCACCTTCTTGGCTGCTCTCCTTCACAGCAGCGGGTCCCCTCATCCCCCCCAGTAGGTTGCAAGGCCAGGCTTTTTATTTTTAGTAAGTTTTTTTTGAGGGGGTTGTGGTTCGTTCGAGTTGGTTGGTTGGTTGACTTTGCAGACGGTGCCTGATTTTGTACACAATGCCTGATTTCACAGTTTCCACGAAATCACAAATTGAGAGCATCCCTATCCATAAGCACATGTTTAGTCAGCACTTTTGTACCTGCTTGTATGTAATATATGCTATGCATGACCGTCCTAAGCCAAAAGGCTCATGATTTACCACACAGTTCATTGGGCTGGGCCCCAGCAGAAATAACAGTGTTTCAAGCTGTGGTTACCCCACAGCTTAGCACTGCTCAGTATATGTGTGTGTACTCCAGATACATCCCCCCCCCACCACCACAAAAGATCTGTATGCAAATTACCCCCTACTTATGACTGGAATGGGTGTTCTTGTCACAAATGCTGATGAGGTGTACAGGGCAACCTGTTCCATCTTCATGTCATGGAGGACAGGGCCACACTGATAATATGCAACAGGCTGAGAGAAGGGACAACAGAGGGATTCTGGCTAAGCTATTTGAGGTCCTTTTCAGGAATGTTTGCCAGACATTTAAGGCTGGCTGAAAAATGGGACTCATTGGAAATGGGAAAGAAAGGCACAGCTTAGTTGTAGAAGTGAAGAGGAAGTCTACATGTATTTACTGTAGTGGCTCACGTTGACTTAAAAAAGTCAGTGCTGAGGGGGACTGAGTGCAATGGGCAATACCTTATATCTTCTTCAGTTGGGTTACACTATCGTATTCTTCGTAGTAAATTCCCATCAGTATGTTTGTCCCATACAGGCCATGTGTTTCATAGTCATGCTCAGTGTTGGCTGAATTTAATCAACTTTATAGTTAGTTTCCATTACTGAGGACATGTTGTTTTTCGCATCAGCTTAATGATACAGTGTATTTAATGCGGTTTCTTTGTATGGGAATGTAAGATAAGGGGCTTTTTTCCCCATGTCAGTTGGCGCGGGGGGGGATCTTGTATTTAAGTAAATATGGTATATATTGGAAAAATGAAGTTATCTATTTTTGTCATTTTTTTATTCTGTTATATCCAATAGATGTTTTGTTTCTTTTTCTCAAATGAATGGCATGTACATGAAATATATGTAAGGCAATTTTTCTTTTTCTTTTTTTTTATACAGACGACGATTCACAAATGTTTGTTTGGATGCTGTTAGTTGCTACCTTGTTGAACTTCAGTCTATGAGCCCTACATTAACAGTGCAGACCACTACTGGGAATTTTAAATCCCTACAGGCTAAATTAGAACGAATCCATTGATTGACTGATAAGATAAAGAACTGACAGCTCAGATGCAACGAACTGTAGAAGAGAAGCTCAGATGTCTGCACTGAAATCTGGAAAAGCAAATGCTCAATACATCTGCTAACATTAAAGATCCTCCTGCAATTAAAAAAATAATGTCTTTGCTCATACTAATCTACAGGTATCTACAAATAGTAGAATGTATATTTGACAAATCAAGGTGCGTTTTTTTTGCTACTGCCAATTTTTTTTCTAATTATAGAAAATCTTTTTTATACTGTTGGAATAAGATATGTTGTACAATCTCCCTTCAGGATTAAAATTATTTGGAAAATATCTTTTTTTCTTTTTTTCTGCATTTACATAATTTGAATACGGTTGGGAATGGTAATAGGATGCAAAATCAAATATGGTAATACAGTTGCATGTGTTGTAGCTCCTTAAAAATATGAAAAAAGGAGAACAGAAGCAAAGCTGACTGAAAGGCAAGAAGAGAAAACTGGGAAAGAAGTCTTTGCTAGCTGACGTCCAAAAATGGTCAGATTAGTGATTTAGTGACAAAATCATAAAATTATGCCTATGTAAGAGATGGTCAGTGTTCCAAGACTATTCTTTACTATACAGATTACAACTAAAATGTAATTCTCAGGACAGTATAGCAGAAGCTAACAGCTTAGTATGCTTGAGCTGTATGTAGAACCCAGCAAACCTTCTACCTTTTGCCCCGGTAAAAATTATGCTTTGTTCAACTCATCCTTGTTTCTGTGAAAATCAACATGGTATAATAGATATGCACCCCAATTACAATCAGTACTGGTCGTGTCCACATGCGGGACAGAATCTAAACACTCCTTTATACTTCCTCCGATCAATGTGTATGTAAGATATCTCTCGGTCTCCCAAAGTCATGAAGGTCTATGACTATAAATGTTCATCACTGTTCTACAGTCATATGTGCATCCATAGTAAATATGTCTAACAAAAACCCTCCCATAAATCATGCACTGGAAGTCACCTTTTGCTGTGTTGGGGTGGTCTTCATTTTACCCTGTTATTGACTCCAAAGATTTTTCTTTTAATATTTAATTTTTCCAGGCCTAGATAAGCCAGAAGAATGAATGTTGTTGATGCATGAATTGTAACATACTATCTGCTGTAAAGTAAAAAAGAAAAACTACTGGTATTAGAAGCCACCTATATAAAGAAAAAAAAATCAATTTCTGGTTAGCAATATCTATATATAGGTATCTAGATCTGGAGAGCTAGCTAGCTAGATCTAGAGATATCTAAACATGCTTAATTACTGGGTGATGTCTCAACTTAATAACTGGACCTTTCTCCCTAAAATCCAAAGAAAACATGCTGTTCCCTACTCAGTCAGTGTTATGTAATTTAAGGTAAATCCAACTTCCATCTTTAGGCTTATGCTTAAATAAAACTGACTTTTATCCTGGTTTTTCTCTCATACCATGCGATTATTGGAACTCTCAAGCTCTTTTTAAATAAATTACCTTATTTGCTCAAATCCAAGATGACTAAGTTCAAGGTGAACTCCTAATTAGATTCTAGACATAGAAGTTTATAACTTACAGGGCAAGCAGCCACAGGGGGGGCAGCCAGCAAGGGACAAGTGGCCTACTCCTTACACCTTCTCCCCTCTACTTTGCCTCCCTGCTGTCTGTACGCCCCATGCCTGCCTCCACCTCCATGATTTCTGTACCCCCCTGTACTTGACGATGCCTGTACCTCCTGGTGCCTGCACCCCCTACCACGTGTACCTTGTCCACCTGCCCTCCATTCTTGCACTCCCTGCTTCCTCCTCCCCTCCCCCCACATTGTGTCTGAACCCCCTGGCCCCTCCTCCTGCACCACTTGTCCCACTGATGCCTGCCTCGTCCCACCGTGCCTGAAAACCTGGCATCTGTCCCCTGCACCACTTAACCTCCTGGTACCTGTTCCACTCCCCATCCACTTGGCTTCTCACATCACCTACCACTCTGTCTACTCCCTGCAGCCTTTCCCCCACCACTACCACGTACCTTCTCATCCCAGCTTCAACTCCATCTGGGACCCTGCTCTGACCCAGAACACATGCCCCAATCTCCTACCCAGTCAGCTGTGGTTGCTTCAGCCCTGGCCACCACTGTTGCATGACTGGAGGCACCTTCCCCTGCCATCTCCTCCCCTCCCACCTTGTATTCAAATAGGAAAAAGCTTCCCCTTGGATTTGAGCAAACATGATAGTTGCTATGCAAATCAAGAGGATTTTTGGAAAAATATAAACCCGGTGATTTTTTTTTTTTCCATTTAAGGCTTAATATTCCCTCTCCAAATTACATAAATGTTAGTTTTCTACAAAACACTGCATCATACAGAGACATCTTGTATATTAGTCTGCCATTGCTTCAATCAAAATATGCAGTTTTTACATTTTATTTGATATTTTTTTTCCAAAAATGGAGGGGCAATTCATTCCTTAATGAAATCAGCATCATGTCATAATAAAGCATACACTTATGCAGTGTCTCATTTTTGCTTCCACATATTTAACAGATTTGTAAACTTAAAAATAGTGCATGACAACAGCTAGCATTGGCCCAATTTATATGATCTTGATAAGCATTTATGCTACAGGTCTAGAGGAGTGAGTATAGGGTGAGTCTGGAGGAGTAAGTGTAGAGTTTGGAAGTTGTGAAAAGAGTACTAATTACTCTGACTTTGTTTGTTCTTAGGCAACTTACTTAATCTTTCTCTTATGTTCTCCACCTGCAAAATGGGATAACTCTTCCCAGGAATTTTGTTAGGATTAGTTTGTGGAGTACTTTCAGAACATAAAGGGGTATTATTAATGTGTCATTCATTCTTGTAGATAGTGTTGAAATTGTAGTGTGAAGCTTACTTCCTACCTCACTGGCTTAAGTGTAATACTTCATCCTCAGCTGTGGATTTTTTTTTTCTTTTTCTTTCTTTACTTTATTGAAGTCAGAGGAAGGTAGGTATTAGACAGCAAAGGAAGGGAAATTTGGGGGGTTTGCTGCTTTTGACAGAAGAGACTGCTTCTTTGCTAAGCTGGTGTCCTAGAAAGCTCATCTTGCATAATATTTGTTCAACTTGAAAGTTAGGGGGAAATGATCTTGACTAGGCACACATTCAGTCTATTAATCATCTTTGGTATTTCTTGCTTTATGTATGCATTTGTAAATTTGTACAGAAGGTAAAATGGAAGTGTAAGGAAGGTTACTTAGGTCTGATGCTTAGTGGTAGCAGACTAGTCATTATTAATCAGTTGCAGCAACCGTGACTTCTGGAGCCGAGCTGCTAGGTACTATGAAAAAAGACAATTAAATCTCCAACTCCAGCCCTGAATTAAAGTTACCTCTACACTCAGGATATGTTTCTAGAATTAATACATCTTCTGTTTCATTTTTGGTTTGTTTCCTTTAGGATTAGGTGGATCAAAAATAGATGAATAGTTAAAGATTATGGTTGTTGGTCAAAATATTGAGTGTCATATCTGTAGTCATGTCCCCAAGGTCTACAGTGGTAACAAAAATGTGCTTTATTGCACATGATGTTTTACCTTTCTTTTCTGACCCTGGAATAGATTTGAAATGCATTAAAGACATTTCTTACACATCTTTTTTATTCCCATTGTTCACATTTATCTAAAACTGAGAAACCAGGTCTGTTCTTCAATACATAATATATCAATGTTATGTTAATAATGGCACCTGTGATGTAATATTCACATGTTGAAATTAACATGACTTGTTGGAATTAGATCGATACTGGATGGACATATACCATCTATTTTGTTAAGTTGACCATCTCCAAATGATTTTTTTTAAACTAACAACTAGATTATACCTCTGTAAGGTCTCTTAATTAAATCTAACTTGGAGTTTAAACAGTTAAGAAACACTAAGAAATCTAAAGGTAAAATAACTGAGGAAAAAGTATTATACTAACCACTTTTTTGAGCAATAGTCTGTGTATGTACCATAATTGATAGATACAAGTCTAGAGAGCTTTAGTTAGAAATGTCTAGTCAGCAGTGACCTGTGGGGTAGTTCCTTGTACATCCAATTAAAGGTATAAAGGGTGAATCCACCCTAATTATCCCACTGCTGTTGGTTGGCCAACTCATAATTCATTAGGGTACTTACTCCAAAGCATTTGGAATAGAGGGTAGATTATAGACTGTGTATACATACCACACATTTCAAGGTACATCTTACTGTACAAGTTAGAGGTGCACCGATACATCATTCCGTATCGTATCGGCACCAATAAAAGGAAAATTGACATTATTGGCAATTGACTTTTTTGGCCTATGTGACCGATAATGTCACAGATAAATGCTGTGTGCATGTACAATGCTGCAGCATGCGTGTGGCCAGAAGTCCAGCCTATCATCCAGCTGGTAAATCTGGGGGGGCGCAGGCAGAGATTAAGACCCCCACACTGAGGGAGGGAATGGGGCTGGGGCTGGGGCTGGGGCTGGGGCAGGGGTAGGCGCTGCCCAGCTGGGCAGGGTGCATGGGGTGAGGGCAGGCTGCCCACTGTGTGCTTAGGACCATAGGCTGCACCAGCCTCTTCTCAGCAGGGGGGACTGAGCCAGGGTGGGCTGCAGTGGTGCTAGGAGAGCTACAGGGTGGCTGTGGCAAATTTTGGGATAGCTGTAGCCCACCCCATAACTCTCCTCCCAGAACCACCACTGCCTGCCCCGCCCTACCCGAGCACAGTCCTGGGCCAGCTCCCTCCACCAGGAAGAAGCCACAGTGGGCAGCCCGCCCTTGCCCTGTGCAAATATCCAGGGGGTGTATGCTCCTCATGCCTTCCCTGGCATGCACGCAGTGTGGGGAGCTGCCTTCCCACCCCTCTATGTCCCCCAGATGTGCCACCTGCAGCTCCATCAAGTGTTCTGCCCCACTCCCATTCCCTTCCTCACTGGGGGCCTTGATCTGCCCCCCCCCCATGCCCCTTCCCCCCCCACAGACTTACCAGCTTGACTCTGCTCTTCAAGCTGCTGGGCTGTATATCAGCAATCGGATCCGTATCAGCAGATACAGCTGGTTAATAATCAACCCTCAGTATCAGTCAAAAAAATCTTTATCAGTGCACCCCTAATACAAGTAATATTCAGGTAAGTAACCTCTTTGTTTTGCTAAACTTAAATTCTGTGCATTGAATGCTTTAGTCTAAAATAACTTTATTCCCTACAATTGAGAGTGGCTAAAAATAAATCTTCTTGGCTCTCAGTCTGCAGTGTATTTGGGAACAGGGTATGGGTAGATTGCTAACAAATACCATTTAGACTGAGATAC